TTCTAATAATTTTAATAGATGTTGCATTTTTATCCTAGGACCTTCTAGAGAGGATCGATAAGCTTGTCGATAATTGTAAATGTGCCTAATAATATTGACATTATGCACATTACTATCTTTCAACGTAAGTAGTATGTTTCTTGGCTTTACCATGTTCTTTGTCATTTCACCAACTAAAGACTTTTCTTCAGCACTCAATCGACCAACATATGAATGACCTGCTAATGTTTCTACTAAATCATATGATTGTGATAACCACACATTACCTTAGGAGTGCATCCTCCAACCTTTTTTGAAGTTGTTCCTTTAGTTTGAAAGGACACTCACATTTTTTGGTACTAGTCACCCTATTAGATAATGCATCATTGTTTGATCTTCTATATTTTCCACTTCTTTCACAACTCAAAATTACAAATGTCTTCCTTTTATCATGTCCTATATTTGTATCTAACCTAAAAATAACCAAGACAAACCCATTTTTTTTTGCAACATTTCGTGTCCAATTCAACATAGCATCTCGAGATTGAAAAACCTAAATATATAAATAAAAATATAACTTTTATTATTGCATATTGATAACTTAACAAAATTAATTGATTGTTCAATTACCTTTTTAGTGTTAAATGCATCACTACAATCAATAGTCTTATTTGTTGTTTCACTAGTTGATATATTCTTCACCTCAAACATTTTCCTAACATAGGTTTCATGTGCACATACAAATAAAAATAAAGTTACAAAATCAATAAAAATGATTAAAAATATAATAACAGTATCCAAAAGAAAAATATAGTGTTTTAAAAAATAATATATGAGCACATTCATGTATATGTTTGAGAAATGGCAACAATAAATTTTGGAAAATATTGTTTGAAACAAAAATTTTTCTATTCCGAAACGTGTTTTCCGGAGGTGTGTTTGTACATAATTTTGAAAAATACTTTCTGAAATACTAAAATTACTATTTTAGAAAGAACTTTTTAGAATTATTATAACAAATACACATAATGTTAATGTTACATAAAAAATTAAATTTATTATTTATTTTTATTGTGCATAAGTAATATTAAATAAGTTTTAAGAAATATTTATAGATGTAAAATGTAATTTAACACAATAATTTTTACCTTGTATTGAATGTGGAGAACAATAGAGATTGAGTGAAAAATTAGGATTTAAACTTTAAAGAATGATAGAGTAAAAAGTGAAAAATAAAATTTAAAAGATATAAACATAAGGTGTGACTATGTTGATTGTTAAAGAAGAAGGGGTGAATGAAAAATAATTTTAAAAATAAAACTTAAAATGAGAATTGAATTAGAAGGATAGGGGATGTATATATCACATGCTCCAAAATGATCCTCCTGGGCCTCTTCCTTAGTGAAAACAGTAGCCTTATTCCTTAGCTTTTTGGGCCTGACCTGCTACCGAGTGAATCCCTATTTGATGTGTCTATAATATAAAATAAAATAAAAAAATCTCTCAAAAAAAATAATATAAAAAAAAATTGTGCTAACTTTATTTTTGGTTTGCACCAGATGGTATCTCGACCTATTGTTAGAAATTAGATCCTTTTGATATACAGAGATCGTAGGTTTTGTTTCTCCCAACATAATCTTCTTTTCATGCATTTTGGTGTATAGTGTCACTCTCTTTAATGCTTTCTTATTTATAATTTTTTTATTTTTAATTGAAAATCATACATTTTGATAAATCCTTAGATGAAGAAAAAGATTTATTAAATAAGATGGGAGATTTATAAAATTTGTGTTTTCTAACAAATTTCAGTTGATAGTAAAGCTAATATTAAAAAGAGAGTTAAAAAGAGTCATTCAATGTCGATGAACTTCCTATGATAAGAGTGGAAGGTTGGAGCTGCTATACATTGCTTACAATTTGTCTCCAATATTTATCAATTTGATCGATGCAGTGAACAACTTTTTGTAGTATAGTATAATAGTTGTAGATTTTTTTTAACAGTAAGGATATTCTCAAATCAATTTTTGCGTTTAACAGACAAAAAATCCTCCAAATGATTGTGCAAAACGCTTTAGACTTGTAAAACTGGACAAATGTCCTCTTCTTTATTCAAGCTTATTAAAAGCTAGTTTTCCTAAAAAATTATTGAGACTTTCCAAAAGCATATGATAAAAGAAAGGCATGAAAACAATGTCTTATTATGTTACTTTTTGTTTACATTTTAATAAAATTGGTACTCTGTTAAACATGAGCGGCCGGTTACTTAGGATTCTGGTATCTCTCCTCTACCAATCATATATTTTCAAATTCTTTCCTCGAACAAATTAAATATTGAATATGCATGCTCAATATTCCTATTTCCCTCTAACAATGGAAGTGTTTTTGTCTTATGAAAAATTGTTTCTTTATACAAAAAATCAACAATAGAGATGGAAAAAGTAGCATCTCATAAGATAACTAATGTGACAGATAGAACAAAAAAAAAGTGTTATAATATTGATAACAGAATTTGGATATAAAGCTTTGTGCAAATTACTCAAACTTTTCACCATTAGAGTGATGATAGTGATTTTTGCACTCTTATAATTAGAGGATACTAAAATAAATTTTACTTATCTTAATATACACACGCAGAGAATCAAATCTAAACATGTTAATTAATATGTTTAATAACATACAATATAATTAACATGCCACACTTTGTGGGGGAAATAGCCAACCCTTTCAATTTTATAGAACTGAATGTGAATTTTTCCATCAAGTGAGATTTCTCTGCAATGTCAAATCGTTTGAAACACTGTGATTGGGGCAAGTAAACGTGTTGGAGGTACCACAGACACGCGTCATGAAGTGGTTTTGCAAAAGGGAAAGCGTACTCCACTAGTACCACTGTACCAGGACCAGATTTTTCTATCCATCTTATTATTATTATTATATGGATTTGTATAAACTATAAAGCATGCTTTATCTGCTTTTGCCTTTCTTTCTCTCCTTTTCCATGAGTTACAAGCTCCAGTGATTGCCATTGCAAGCCACTTTCATTTCGCTTTCCCATTTTTCTTCCTTAGCCCAACAAAGAACTTCTGTTTTACCAAAACCACTCATATGGATGCCTCCAACATAGTTTTTAGACAATACTTTAAGGCACGAAACCTTGTCAATCAATCTAAAGTCACGAATGTTAGTAAGGTTGCCTAACCCCTACTTTAAGTTTCATTTTTTAATTACTTTCCATTAGATTAAGTTTGTACTAGACCAAATTCATCTAATAGCATGTGTTACAAAGAATGTATATTGTATTACTAATATTTTTTCCCACCATATCGGTGGACACCTAAAGTAGAAAGGGACCAATCTTAATAAGGGTTGATTCAGTTTTGGCAGTGAATAAGACTTGAATGAATTAAAATGTTTGTCCCAGAGCACAAAGGTAGAAGTTGTAATAGCTGGTCCTGATGGAATGAATACAAAGGCTGAAGCTGAAATGATTCCCTCTTAGCCCAAATGACTACTTGTGCTAGCAAGTACATACAGTGCATATGAGCACCGATTAAAAGACAAGTTTAGATTGATTTGGATAAGTTATTGGATCCTAAAACACGAAACCCCATATTTAAATCAATTCACAGCACATTATAAAGGTAAACCAATATCATTTTTAATTATTTATTATAAAATTATTATCTGATATTTTATTTCCCCTTTATTATATATATATATATATATATATATATATATATATATATCTTTTGGTAATATATATTTTTAGGTGCACGTGTGGGAAACATCAATTTTTTTTTTAATTAGTTGGCTTATTTTCCCCTACCAACCTAACCTTGTCTCGGGTTGTATACACAAGACAAGATTCAAACTCCTGACTTTGCTTAAGTGTGGATCAACTCCTACCGCTGAAACCACACGCTGGGAGTTTGACATTTATGTATTATTTGAAGTCCAAGTCCAAGGAAGAAACATGTTCTATGATTGCAAAGAAAGCCAACTTTATCTCAACATCTCTTCATGTGCAAGGCATAAGTGAAGGGGCGGCTTGAGTATTTTGGACGAACAAAGAAAAATTATAAAAATGCGATATTTTTTCATATTTTAATTCATTTTTTTAACTTATTATAATATACTTTATTTTTAGTATATCTCAGGTAGTGATTTTATCTCTAAAAACAAATTTAATATATTTAAGTATTTTAGTTTAATAATTGAATATAGAAGTATCAAACACAATTTTTTTAAAAAGATATTTTGTCAGTAAGGAGGATAAGAAAAAGAATAGTTAACTTAATAGATTTTATTTTGAGAAAAAGAATTGATTTTATAAGAAAATCATGAAGTTTGCACAAATTAACATCCATACGCAGAGAAAACCAACCATTCGATGTGAAATATAAACAAAAAAAAAATTCGCGTGATGAATAGTAAAGAAATAAAATGGGTAAAAAATTATAAAAATAAATCATTAAGTAGTAATTGATTTTGAAGAGATTAAGTAATAATTAATTAATGAAACAAAAAAAATTATAGAACAAAACATAGATTATAATTTTTATTACATCCTTGTTATCATAAAGTTTTAAAATCAAATAATGACATGTATATATTATTTTTAATGTTAAATAATTTTTATATGCACCGTCAAATTTTTTTTTTAAAGAGAAACCAATTAAGTCAAAATAAAATAATGTTTTTATAATTAAAAGTAAAAACAAAAGACATTTTATTACAGCAAACTATTCCTAAAGTTTTCAAACAACTTGTGGCATATATCGAGGATGACAGACTGAAAAACCAATTATTTCTTATGTACGAATCCAATTGCTCACACGTGTATGGGTACCCCAAAGCAGTCTCTTTTATGACTGTAGATGAAAATTAACTGCAGGACTTTTGCAGTCAAGATTGAATAAAGAAATATCTAATAATTATTTTTAACGGTTATAGTGACTGCAAAGAATTCATACTTGGATTTTTAATCTCCATTATTTCCTGCATTGTAAGTACATATTCAATAAAGAAAACCACATTTTAATTGTCGAAGATATCTTAATATACAAATCATTAATAAGTACAAAATACAATGCTATTATTTGCAACTACAATTCTGTGACAAATTAAACTTCCAATCAACATTCAACATTCAACAATCAACCTCTTCCTCCTGAAGAATTTCATTAACTACATTTCCTACCTTCCATTTGTTAGATATGTAATGTCATGTCAGAAATGCAAACAAAAGCAAAGCAAAGGGAAATAAATGTTGAACTGTTTCTTCTGTTCACAACTGCAAGAAGACTCGTGTCACTGTCCATTGCACTCAACAATGCCTTGTACCAGAGAATAGAAGAAGCACCAAGCACGAAAAGATAATTCTCACGTCAAAAATTAATGCCCCATTATGGTAGTTACTACTTCCCCTCGAGCATGCTTCACATAATGACCCCTATCTCTGCCTTGTACGCTTTGTCTCAGCCTATGCAAATGCATCATCCTCTTTTGGCCGCGAGAACTTGAGTCCCACACCGAGGAAAAGAAGAGCCACATTGAGGTCAAAATAATAGCAAAAAGCTTCCCCCAAAGCACCGTGAACACTAAGCTCATGAGAACCAAGTAGATTCCATACCACTCTAACTTCTTTTGTTGCTTCTCTAGTGAGCCTCCAACACCACCCTCTCTCTTTTTCTCTTTGCTCATCCACTTGTAATCTGACACGTTCTTTGATTGTGATGATGCGTGTGAGCTCGAACAAGGTGAAGAAGATTCAAGGGCTTTGGTTTCGGCATAAGTCAAATACTTTCGTTTGTATCCAAAACAATCATGGATATAACGGTTTTTATGGTGACCTCTTCTATTCTGCAACCCAATAAAAAATGACACTTCAGTTAATAAAATGAAACTTGTTTCATGTAAAATGTATAAAAAAAAAATGAAATCATTAACGTTGTATATTTTTTTAGCATAGAAGTTAAACAAGTACAAGGAACTTTCTACTTAATGCATGCAACTATGCAAGTGAACATAAGAGACTAACCAATAAGGTTTCGAAGAAGAGAGCTTTAACCACCCGAGAAATGGTTCGTTTTGGTGAAGCATGGTGAAAATATAGAGATTTGGTTTCTGAATTCTTCATGGCTTGGTGCTTATCCGAAGTGGGGGTGCGTGAGAAACGACAAGTGGAGGAACGATGAGATGCAACTTCGGACTCTAGCATGGCATCGATAGGGCGAAAACACAGGAGGAACTTGTTCTTTGAAAAGCTCCTCATGATGGATGAAAGCTAGCAAGGGAAGATCACAAGGGTTTTTAATTTTGAGTGTTTGGTTGGTTGGTTGGTTCTATAGCTAGATAAAGAAGTGGCTAGTAGGCATTATATATATAACGTTGGCATGGTCATGGACATGGACATGGACATGGACATGGGTTTGTCATTATTATTTTGTTTTAGTGAAAGGGTAGAAAGTGGGGGAGAAAAAGGAAGAGGCACTTGTTAAAGAGTGATGGGGTCTTTAATCAATTTATTGATATTAATTAATGTTGCAATAGAGTAAAGGAGACAGAAAAGGAGAGTCTTTAATTTATGGATGGTGAGTCACGCAGCGTTGAGAATATATGAACTGTTGCTGTGCCGTCCGAACCGAGGGTCGTGTAATAATTTTAAGGTACCAAGGATTTTTCCCGATTTAAGATGGTATAATTTGGATTCGGATCTAGATCATGATAGATAACAAAGTTAATGTTTTATCAAATTTTTTAATAACTTCTCTGTTGATTTCCATGTGATTTTAAAGAACACCATGGTGTTATTTAATTACTAATTTGGAGTTTTTCTTTTCTCGGTGGTAGTATAACTTATACTATAATTAGAATTTATTCCTTCATGTACATTATTCTAATTCTAATAGTTATGGACAATTCTTAGTCACTTTATCGACCGGTACCCAATAATTTTACTAAAGTGGAGTTTATTGTTTGAATATAATATATTAAGTCTTTCTTTGCATAATATTTTTTTATGTTAAATAAATTAACTTTAGATTTTTTTTAAAAAAAAATACTATTTAACTGAAAAGAAACAAGATTTTTCGGCCTGGGTTGGTCATTGAACCCGTTAATGAATCTTCCAACATATTTTATATAATCCATTAGATTAAGTAAAAGTTTATTGTTTGGATATTATTAAGTCTATTAATTAAGGGAGAGGGGTCAAATTAGGGTTGAGAGAGTGACTTAATTTGAGAGAAAATAACAACAAAATACAAAGAGAAAAGAAAAGAGAAAATTATAAGTTGCATATCCACTTATAACGTTTGTTGAATTACAACTGAAAATTCATTCATCGTTGGATTAGACTGATTTTTGGATAATAAATTTATACAACGTGGATTTAACATTAACAGTTGGATTGTCGAAAAAAAGTCTGAAGTGAAAAAAAAGAGTCTCGCAAAAACTACTTTATTTTGAGATTTTTCATCTTCTTATTTATCAATTTTAATAAGCAATTGTATTTGGCTTTACTTTGATTAATTGTAAGCATTATTTGGTGCATTCTTTAGAGATTTTGTTGTACCCTTTCTTGACCATAGTAAAATTTTTCTTTGGTCTAGATAACTCGTGATTTTTACCATTACATTAAAAAAAAATTACATTAAAAATATTTGTATCTCTTGTATGTTTGAATTATCCTTTTTGTTCTATTTTGTTGGTGGTCATTGCATATTCTTACAAGTAGAGAGATTTAATTTCTATTGCATAATTGTTCTTTTTCAAAGTTGTTATTTTGTTGAACTTTTCCCATCACAACATGCTATTTTCTACTCGAGCCTAATGTTTTCAAAACACACCAATAATATTTTCTGTAGAGACTATTTTTTTTTATTCAAAATATTAAAAGATAATAATAATAATAATAATAATAATATTATTATTATTATTATTTGTTCTAACACTCATATTGTTGATCAAAATTTATTAAGAATTATAACATTCTGAGCAATACTCATTAAATGTAAAAGTAAGATCTACAGTTTCTTGATTTTTAATAAATTTAAGTGTAAAATTTGCTGAAAAAATATGTTAAAAAACAGATTCTCCACATTTCTCTATAAAAATTTAAAAGTAATTTTTTTCCTTCATAATATTTTTTTTTCATGCACATAAACAAAAATTGTATCTCGACAGACCGTGTAATTAATTTTGATACACTAATAGTGAGTCATTTCTATCCACGCGTACCTAATTCATGAACAGATAAATTAATTGATGGCTCTTAATTAAATCCAAGTTTATGTTGCAATTGACAATAATGTTTTAATTGCAAAATTAATTTAAAACGCTGTGCTTTGAACTTTGAAGTAAAGGCAACGGAATAAAGAAAGATTCAAATCAAAATCACGCGCCAACTTTATTGTGCACGTATAGAAATATTACGCACAGGTTTTATAAATACTAAATAGTAACTAGAAAGATGATTGAAAAAAGAAAACAAGATGAAGAGTTGAAGACTGTGAATATGACACTTGTGTTTCTCTACTTTTACCAACAAAATTAAGACTAACCTATAGTTTATACCTGATTTAAAAGAATATTTCTAGAAGAAGTTTCAAATTATACTCATTTTAGTCGCTTCCAACCCAATCATATTAATATTCATTCCTTCGCACTCAGTGCCATACAACTCGAAAAGTTCTTAATATTCTTGATATTGCATTTCTAGGGTCTCTTTTGTGATGCATATAAGATAAATTCAAAACAATTGTGGGCATATTACTTGAGTCTAAAATAGTTTGAATAATATTACTCGACTGAATATGTCGAATATAGATGTCGAAAATTTTGTTCCCTTCCCATTTTGAATGGCATACAAGAAACATTGTATTAAGCTTTGACGAAGAAAGCACAAAGTAAAGTTTCCTGTATTCCTTTACTCGTTTTTTCCTTAGCTCTTTCTTGTTTGTTTCCCCCACATGATTCATGAGCCATATTGGTCTATCATATTTTATCTCAAAAAAAACCACGTACGTCCGAGAGAGAGAGTACTTTTGTCTTTTGGAATGATTTCTTAAAATATTCGACACTGATATTTTTCATACTAGGGTGTTTTTGTTCTTTAAACTTTCCTCCTTCGTTCTTAAGATCGAAGTTAATTTTTCTAGCACATGTTTAACGAGTAAAATATATGCTTACTTACAGGAGATCAATTGCCCGTATGATGCACTTTATTTATCATTAGCTTTAGTGGAAGTAATTTTTAATTAAAAGAAAAGTAAATTATAGTACTAATACGCACTTTCTGAAGTTTGGTGACATTGCATTTTCAGTAATAACGTTCTTTACTAATATTTTTCACACAGTTAATTAAAAGGAGTTAGTATAATATTTAAGGAGTGTTAGTGTAATTTCTTTTAAAATAATTATGAGAAAGTGTAGAGATAGAAAAAAAAGGACATTATATCTAATCTCGGAAAATATTAAGACATGTCGATATAATTTTTCTAAAGGAAGCTAACATGTTCATAATTTTATTTTATTATGTTAATTTAATTAACTTTGGTTCAAATACTTTTTTAAATTCTTATAGTTTTACTTATTTTATTTTAAATTTCTATAGTTTAAAATAGACTTTTTTTTTTAAAGTTTTTATACTTATTTTTTTCAATTTTAGTTCTTATGTATAATTTAAGATGAATCTTTTTTACTTTCTATATTTATGGTTTTCTAATTTTTTAGTTTTTGTAGTTAATTTTCTTTTTATAATGTTGTATGTTTGGTGTTGACATAGTAGAAATATTTAATTTTTTGAGGATAAAAAATGTGTCTCAACAACGAGTGTCACATGTGTAAAACTACAAAAAAAATACGAAATGTTAACTAATTTAGAGGAAATTCACTAAATAAATCCGACATTAAACAAAAAAAATTGAATTAATACTTCTGTTACATCAATACCAAAGAGCAACCTAAAAAAATAATAATGCAAGGCTAATAAATTAAAATACTACACGTATTGTGGACAAAAAAAACTTAAATTATAAAAATTTAAAATAATTTTAAAAATAAGTATAAGAACTAAAAAAATACATTTTAAACTATATAGACTAAAAGATAAAATAAATAAAATTATAAGAATTAAAAAAAATTTAATAGAAAATTAGTATAGTGATTAAAGTGAAAGAAATTAAATGTAATAAAAATATAAAGACTTAAATTCGATCTAAATTGCTTATTTTTATAATCATTCTTATATTTGAAAGGGAAAAAAAAATAGTACTGCTTGAATTTGCTAGCACTATGATCTGCCATGCCCCATGCATAGTAAATATTGAATAATGAGACCAAAGTATGTATATTGAAAGTGGGGGACTATAAATTTATATATAACAAAGGAACTTTTTTTGTGGGGACTTCTAGAAAATGCTTTGTATTATTTACTATGAGCTAGATAGTTGAATAAATAATTAATTGAATACTTCTTTTAAATGGTTAGGTAACCTGCTAAATAATTAATAATTATATATATATATATATATATATATACATTGATGATAAATATTATTATAAATATAGCCCGATGATCAAGATTAAAAAAATGTATGTTTTTTTTAAGTGGTCATGTGACCACCAACTAATTTATATAATCTAGACAATTTATAAATAATTCTATAATTTATATTTATAATTTTCATTTCTCAAATAGAAAAGCATTTAGTTTAAATGGAACTCGATCTTAGTACTTATATAAGGTTATTTTGTTGGTTCAAATACTATATTCTTCAAGCTCAATTGATTTTATAAATATATAAGGCAAATTCTATTTCAAACAAAGGCTAGACCGCCCAATAAGTTATATTTTCACTGTTAATTCACTTTTTAAAGTAGTAGTAGTGTTAGCGTCTATATGACTATATCATCATCATTTAAATATTCGTTTATACTATTCAAAATGGCTGAATAGAACTATTAAACCAAATTTGGTGACTCATTAAGCTATAATTGTTATTCAAAACTACGTGCTTGATCATTTAATCGTATTTTGATATGTATTTACCAAATTATTCTAAATGGTATTGATGTCAATTCTTTTAAATAAGGTTTTTAAATTCGAGTATTGTATGTGAAAAATTTTAAAATATATAATTGAGATGAAAAATTTCACTAAAATAACCAGTCAATTTTTTTTATGGAAATCAATCACTAACAAAGTTGATATATTATTTGATACTAATAACGTGAATAACTAAAAGATTGTTCTATGTATTTGAAATGCCATGCTAATTTTTGTGATAGCATAACAAAGCCACGTTGTGCTATTGTTAACTGGGCCACTATGAAAATACATTCTAGCCCAAAATTTGCCAAACCATACTTATTGATAAAAAAAAAATCCAATTTCAGATCGCATTTCGAGCGTAGCTAAAAAAAAA